ATTGGCAACATGTGGCTGGCCACATTTCAATGCATGTTTGCCCAACAACAATTAACAATTGACAGACATTGAAATAAACGGAGTTAAGAGATTAAAAAAGTGAAAAAAAAAGAAAATAAAAATAACGCAGAGAAAAGAATTAATATTTGGATGGTACACTGTGGACTTGATATTTGGCATTGCAACTGTTCCATGTGGAACGAAAGGCAAACAATCGGACAGAGATCTGCCACAAACAGAGCATGGCAAATGCCAAGCGAAAAAACTGAAAACTGATGCCGAGCTGACATTTTCCTAAAGGAACAATTGCCCACGGCATTGCAAAAAGTGCGAGAGAAGAAGAGAGAAACAACAGCTAGTGGAAATGCAGAGGCTCGGCGGTGAGCCCATTGTTTGGCCTAGAGCAACAGCTGCCAGCCAGGCCAATGCCTGAGTCCCTGGGCAGTCTTTGTCCTATAAACATTTTGGTGCTGTTTAAATTTAACTTCCGCTCTGGTTATATTCTCCTTCACTTGATTTTAGTGCTGATTTATATTGTATGGCTCGGAATGGCACAGCCTGCAGCCATATATTGAATATCAAATATGATTTTTTTTAAGACGTAACCAGCAACGCACACAAAACTGAAGAAAAATTGCCATGAATTGAATTTTATGTCGCAGCAGCAGCTTAGGCCCTGATTCTGATTCTGTTCCTGACTTTGACTCTTGGTGGCCTTGCTGTCTCTCTCTCTCTCTCTCTCTCTCTCTCTCTCTCTCTATCCCTGCCTCTGTCTTACTCATGCTCTTTATCTTTTTCACTTTTTTACTGCACTTTACTTGGCGTAACAATAAATTGCCTTTTGTATATACATAGATTCTGCGGCTGCATTATGTATGACTACCATGAGATAAACGAGTGTATATATATATATTTATATATATCTATACATACATATATATTCTCTTTGTGGCTTTGCCATTTATGTTATTAATGCGGCGCATACCTTGCGGCTGGCTTTTGTCTGGCCCAGGAACCTGTTTGCCCAGGAGGCATTGCTGCCTATTCTGCGTGTGTGTGTGTGTGCGTGTGTTTTTTTTTTTATATATCTGATGCCCTTTCAGTGGATAATATTATATAGCCAAGTGATACGTGACGTAGCGTAAATGCTAGATATATATTTGTAGTTTAATATAGAACATTCGATAGAGTACATTCTTAAAAAAAAAAAAAAAAAAAAAAAAAAAAAATTGTGGTGGCACTTCACTAATATTTCTCAATATTTCAATATTTCTGGTAAATTATACCTTCAATACCTATAATTTTATATTGCATTCTACTTAAAAATGTAAAAAGATTTTAGTAATTCTATTTCTATTTATTCGATTTCCTTCAGATAAATACATGCATAAATATTCCACATGTAGAACCTGTTACTAGACAGAAGACGGCTATGTAAGTTTTAACAATATAAAGTTTTTAATATAATATATATAGAATGAATTATTAAATTACTTCTAGGTTAATAATCTAGTCAAAAGTTAAAAAAATAATTATTAATTAATAACAATTTTTAGCTGAAAAAAAGGATCTACAAAAATTCTGGCCTGGCAGCGTATCTAATATTCGTGAAGACAACTCATTTACATTTATAAATTTTGTATACGCTTGAGAATCAAAGTTGATAGCCAAATATATAGGTATAAAATATTCATTGTTGATTGATATCGCCTAGGCATTTTGATGTAAGCAAAACGCGTGCAACGCAAAATTTCATTAAAATATTTTAGCAGCTGCCCATATAAATATTTAACAGATTTTATAATTAATAGCTTTATAAAGGCTTTTAATACATTGTAAAGAAGAATATGTATAAAGCTCAGTCTTTTGGTTAAGGAGCGAGACAGAGAGAGAGACCAATCAATGAGGTCTATCTGCTGCCGTTAAATGGGCTTTGTCTAGGTCGACGGCTAGCGGCTTTTAGCTTTTAATTGATATTCTTTTGATGTGCCTTTTAGTGTTCTTCTTTGTCGCAGAAGGCTTCATATATTCTTTTGTTATTGATAAATGTGGGCAGCCACAATGCAGAGTCTAATCTGTGCGATGCTAAAGAAATGTTAATTGTTAACATTTTCTCAACCGAATGTAATTGATTGTTTTCAATTTGTATTTTAACTGAGGGAAAATGCATTTAGATATAGTTTTTCCTATACGGGCATACTTTTGAACTAACTGTATATATTTAAATTCGATTGCCATTCGCTCGCATATCATTTGCTAACCATAAACTCATTAAAACAGTAGCCAATTGGCAACGACCGCTCTCTAGCCACTTTGCACCGTGAAAAATCGAGTGCAGTTTGCATTATTTTTGCTCGCATATCTGATTTCGTTTCGACTGTCCAATAAAGTGAAGTCTATGAGCGCAGAGGTTCCTCTACTACTACCTCACATTTTCAGGCTGAGCTGAGCTCGTCAGCATTATTTCAAAATGAAATTGAAAATTATAGTGTGCGATCAGTTGGTACTTTTTTTTTCTTCAGCTGCTGATGCTCATTATGTGTGAAGCGGGCTAGGTAGGTATACGCATACATACAGACGTAGATAGGTGTAGCTTTATAGCTTACAATTGTAAACCGGTTCAGCGTTTGGCTGCGCATGCGCCGGAAAACCTGTCCGGCGATTCGCTCTGCCCGCAAGACAATACGGTGGTAGAGCACAGCGGCGCACAACAACAGCCTCAACGGCGCATCAATTATGTTAATGAAGCTTTAAATGTGTCTTGATATTGAAAAACTTACTGCTACAGGTTTTTCACAAAAAAAGCAGAAGAAGAAGAAGAAGAAGAGTATATACATTATGAAGAAAAACGTTGGTCGGTTGCAGCAGAGCCGGTTTTTCAAATGAGAAATGTCAATCGCGACATTATATAAAAATGAAAAAAAAAAAAGAGTCTAAAGAGCAATTTGCATTTGGCGACCTTTCACACACACACACACACACACACACACACACACACACACAAAATATAACATTTGAATAGCTTCCACACCTTCGCACCGTGTCACATTCAGTTTTTATTTTTCAGTTTTTCAGTTTTCATTTGTAACTTGGCTAACGAGCTTTTGTTTTGTATTTTAGCAACGGGAACGGCTCTGAGCTGCCTCTGACCCTGAGCTGATTCAGCCAATAGTTTATGGCCAACACGTAGCTGACTTACATGCACATGCATGTGCGCCATATTTCTTCTGACTGGCATTTTAAGTCGGCCTAAATGAGCGTATTTGTAAGGATTTATCCCTAATCATGCCTGCGGCACACACAATTTTTTTTTCCCCTCTTTCAATGTCATATAGAATGTTCACGCTACATAGCTTTTATTGAGTATTTCAAGATGCATTCGGCATATGGTAAAGGCATTTGCCTAGCTTGGCTTTCATTTTACTGTGAACCTCTTGAAAATGGGAATTCAGAGTATACGATTATTTTGTTGAAGAGTATGTAACAAGCTAATGCTGGCTTTTGCTGACTTCTGGAATTATATATATATATATACATATATTTTGTCTAAGAATCAATAATTTCTGTCTGTGTATTTGGTTCTATATGTGAACTCGTTGTTCTAGTAATTTTATATTCACACGCGCACAGAAATTCTGTTGCATTTCATCAATAACTTTTTTTCATTTCCATGAAATCCATTAAATACTTTATTAAGTCACTTGTATATACTTTGCATATTATATTCTGAGAAACTGATTCACTAAATTTGGCATATAGATAAGCTGGACAGAAAAAGATAGAGATAGGCAAATTATAAGCATTCTGGAATAATTACCCTGCACAATGGGCTAGGTATTCTTTAGTAAAGTACTGTAGACATTCATTAATATATATTTTATAGTTATTATATTCCCGACTATATCACTTGTCTTATATTTTAGTCAAGCACTCTCGAGATTGATTTATATTTTCGACTATATCACTATTATATCACTATTATCACTATTTCAAATTCAGAAAGCCTTACCAAACTCTCATTAAAATGTTCATAAGCAAACGTTTAAAATTTTAATTATATTAAATATATTAATGATAAGTATAAATTTTTATTACCAAATTGTCTTAAGAATAATTATCAAAATTCACTTGCATTATTTTCAAGTCAATCATAGAGGATTTTAAGTCAGAAAGCCTTACCAAACTCTCATTAAAAATTTAATAAACAAATATTTAAAATTTTAATTATAATTACTATATTACAATAACTAATAATTTTGCCAAAATGTCTTGAGAATAGCTATTAATTATTTACGCTCTGGTATTTCAAGTATTTATTTATCTAACACAAAGCTCAGCATGCCTCGTTAACATAAGTTGCTTTTGGGGGCACAGACTCAACCGCGAGTTCGCCTTGGGGCTGGCATTCGGTTGCAATGAGGTTTATGTTTACGATTATGATTATTAAAAGCATTTTTCTTATGCATTGCATTTAATGCAACGCTGAGCTTTGGCAGCGCTTGACTGTGCTGAGATTGTGATGCAAATAGTTGGTTATAAAAATGGGGTTGGTGGAATGCGTGGGTGGAAAATAGTTGCAGGGTTGTTGAAGGGTGGCTTAAACTATGGCAAGGGCAAAGTTGCGTGATATTTGCGATAATAAAGCCAGGCAAAAAAATAAAAATAAAACCATGACGCTATAGAAAAAACTCAAATAAGCGAAGTTCATACCGAAAACCATAAGACAAAATATACATAAAATATTTTTTTAATTATTGAGAAATATTCGTGAAAAAAAAAAGAATTTTTAATATATTTTTGAAATATAAATAAAAATATTCGAGGAAAATAGTTTCGACTACAAAATATATAAATAAATATTTGGTAAAAATAATTCCCATAGCAACCTTAAAGATAACCGAAACCAATATCTATCATCTATGTATATAGTATAGCCATAACCATGCCAAAGAAAACTATGTAGTTAACTATAGATCTTTTTGCATATGTATATAGCGTACCATATCGGGCCTGAAGTACACCTGTTGCGTATACATGGAACTTTTCAGTGAGGACGTCTTATCCGGGAATAATATGCATTTCCCTGGCATAGTTCCTCTGCCTGTGCCTGTGCCTGTGCCTGTGTCACCATTAATTGTTATAGTTGCTGTGCCTATTTGTGTTGGTTTTGTTGTTGTTGTTGTTGTTGCTTTTGTAATGTTGTTTGCTGTCAGGTGATGATGGCCAACGCCCACATCTGTTTTCTGTGCTGTCAAACTGCTCGTCGAGTTGACTTTGGAGGCGTGCGATAGGCGTTTCATATGCGTCCACATCTGATGCCATGGCGCCGCATCTTTCTATAGTTTTTATTTGTATTTATTTTGTTTATTTGTGGGGTGTTTGTTGGCCACACACAAGACGTAGAGTGGTTTGTTCGTATATGTATAGTTTAGTGTAATGAGTCGGTTGAATTGAGAGTGTACGAAAAAAATAGAAATAAATACAATTTTATTTTAATTGAATGCGGCCAATTATTGAGTTTTCAAAACAATAATGTTTTGGGGTATTTTTAATTTTTAATTTTTAATTAAAATTAACATAAGATTTTTCTGATTATCTAATAGTTTTTGGAGTAGTTTGATATAATATGTCGCATAAGTAGTTTTCAAATTTGTTGTAAATTTGAAAACAATATATTCTGTGTAGCTTAAAATAGATTTGGCGTAGTTAAACTTACATTTTTTATATATTTAATAAGAATCTGTTAATTTCCTGTTAACTCATGATCTTTGAACTGTTTAAATATATACTATAGTATATTACTATATACTATAAATATTTTTTATTAGCTGTATACTTATAGTCAGGCTAGTGAACCCCGAGCACGATTCAACTACTCGCACTTAGCACATGGCACGCACTTAACACCCTAACACATAGAAGCTTTAAGCACACACACACACCCCCAAGGTACAGCCCCCATTTCTCAGATATTATGATGTCATGCAGTTAGGCTGTTAACAATTCACTATCCACCCAACCAAAGCCAACAGCGTGAGCAATTTAAATTTCATACGCGTATAGTACAATTTGTATACTCGCTCACGCAGTTGAAAGAGATAGTATATTGGCTTTATACAATGTTCGTCTTGCTGAAGGTCTTCCATATAAAGATATTATTTCCTATTTTTAAGGTATAAACACAAGTAATTCCTTGTTTAAATATTGATATTAATATTCCTCTTCTTTTTTTTTAATGTGAGTGAGTATTATCCAGTCGGTATGACCCGACTGCAACATTTTGCTTGTTTTACTTAGTACGTACGCTTATGGGGGCAGCATGATGTCAACTTTATAGACTGGCTATTATGGAGGTTTGTTTTTAGTATTATTATTTTTATTTCTTTTTTTTTTTTTTGTTTCGGTTTGAGATAACGATAGACGCCGGCCCCTTGATAAGGCAAATATTTTGGTGTAATTTCTCGAGCAATTCGCTTGACTAACTTGATTTACTGGAATATTTATGACAATTTGTTGAGGTAGTCATTCTATTTTTGTAATTAATATGGAATCTCTTAAAGAATGAGGTAAACGATGGTGAATCATTGTGGATTGAAGGCTAACAAGATGAGGTAGCTTGGGTATGTGAAGAGTTGAAATTAATTTTTTTTGTGTATTTGATTGCAAGTGTTCATTAATTATCCATTCGCGAGAGAGATTTTTAAATATTTAGCTTTTAAATAGTCTACAATAATTTAATGTTGATTAACAAATTATTGGACTCCCATTTTGCTGAATAATATTTAGTTTTCAAATTATAAAAATTAATATTTTATATAATTTCTTTGAAAAGTTTATCTATTTTATTTTTATTTTCTATTAAATTATAATTTAAACGGATTTATTTAGTTTAAATGTTTTTCTATTTTCTAATATTATTTTAAAAATATTTTTTAATTATGAAAAACTGTAATTTTTCATAGTATATTTTAATAATTTAAGTAATTTTTCAAAGTATATTTATACTTAAATTATTTCACATACAAGCAAATATCTTAAAAATATTTTAGTCTTTTTTTTATTGAATTTATACATTTTATAGCTTAAAATATTTTATTTCATATATAAAATTATTTCATATCCAAGTTTCATATAATTATTTTTACAAGCTGCTAAAAAAAAAAAACTGTATATATTTACACATATTTCCCGTTTAAATAAAACAGCTAAGCTCAATTAGCCTGTTATGACAAGCAAACACACAAATACACATATACTATATAAACACGCATATGTGCACCTAGTGCACGGTAGCTGTGGCCAAGGCTAAGCGCATAGCACATGCATCTGTTTTACACAATGGGCGCCCCTCGCATCGTAATATTCATAGCTCATATTCAGCAAAACCCCAAACCCCAATGCGGTCAGCAATGCATTTAAAAGTCATGAGTCGGTTGAATTGAGAGTGTACGAAAAAAATAGAAATAAATACAATTTTATTTTAATTGAATGCGGCCAATTATTGAGTTTTCAAAACAATAATGTTTTGGGGTATTTTTAATTTTTAATTTTTAATTAAAATTAACATAAGATTTTTCTGATTATCTAATAGTTTTTGGAGTAGTTTGATATAATATGTCGCATAAGTAGTTTTCAAATTTGTTGTAAATTTGAAAACAATATATTCTGTGTAGCTTAAAATAGATTTGGCGTAGTTAAACTTACATTTTTTATATATTTAATAAGAATCTGTTAATTTCCTGTTAACTCATGATCTTTGAACTGTTTAAATATATACTATAGTATATTACTATATACTATAAATATTTTTTATTAGCTGTATACTTATAGTCAGGCTAGTGAACCCCGAGCACGATTCAACTACTCGCACTTAGCACATGGCACGCACTTAACACCCTAACACATAGAAGCTTTAAGCACACACACACACCCCCAAGGTACAGCCCCCATTTCTCAGATATTATGATGTCATGCAGTTAGGCTGTTAACAATTCACTATCCACCCAACCAAAGCCAACAGCGTGAGCAATTTAAATTTCATACGCGTATAGTACAATTTGTATACTCGCTCACGCAGTTGAAAGAGATAGTATATTGGCTTTATACAATGTTCGTCTTGCTGAAGGTCTTCCATATAAAGATATTATTTCCTATTTTTAAGGTATAAACACAAGTAATTCCTTGTTTAAATATTGATATTAATATTCCTCTTCTTTTTTTTTAATGTGAGTGAGTATTATCCAGTCGGTATGACCCGACTGCAACATTTTGCTTGTTTTACTTAGTACGTACGCTTATGGGGGCAGCATGATGTCAACTTTATAGACTGGCTATTATGGAGGTTTGTTTTTAGTATTATTATTTTTATTTCTTTTTTTTTTTTTGTTTCGGTTTGAGATAACGATAGACGCCGGCCCCTTGATAAGGCAAATATTTTGGTGTAATTTCTCGAGCAATTCGCTTGACTAACTTGATTTACTGGAATATTTATGACAATTTGTTGAGGTAGTCATTCTATTTTTGTAATTAATATGGAATCTCTTAAAGAATGAGGTAAACGATGGTGAATCATTGTGGATTGAAGGCTAACAAGATGAGGTAGCTTGGGTATGTGAAGAGTTGAAATTAATTTTTTTTGTGTATTTGATTGCAAGTGTTCATTAATTATCCATTCATGAGAGAGATTTTTAAATATTTAGCTTTTAAATAGTCTACAATAATTTAATGTTGATTAACAAATTATTGGACTCCCATTTTGCTGAATAATATTTAGTTTTCAAATTATAAAAATTAATATTTTATATAATTTCTTTGAAAAGTTTATCTATTTTATTTTTATTTTCTATTAAATTATAATTTAAACGGATTTATTTAGTTTAAATGTTTTTCTATTTTCTAATATTATTTTAAAAATATTTTTTAATTATGAAAAACTGTAATTTTTCATAGTATATTTTAATAATTTAAGTAATTTTTCAAAGTATATTTATACTTAAATTATTTCACATACAAGCAAATATCTTAAAAATATTTTAGTCTTTTTTTTATTGAATTTATACATTTTATAGCTTAAAATATTTTATTTCATATATAAAATTATTTCATATCCAAGTTTCATATAATTATTTTTACAAGCTGCTAAAAAAAAAAAACTGTATATATTTACACATATTTCCCGTTTAAATAAAACAGCTAAGCTCAATTAGCCTGTTATGACAAGCAAACACACAAATACACATATACTATATAAACACGCATATGTGCACCTAGTGCACGGTAGCTGTGGCCAAGGCTAAGCGCATAGCACATGCATCTGTTTTACACAATGGGCGCCCCTCGCATCGTAATATTCATAGCTCATATTCAGCAAAACCCCAAACCCCAATGCGGTCAGCAATGCATTTAAAAGTCATGCCCTTGTCGCTAAATGAGTCTATGGCATTTTGGGGGTCTCAAAACGTCCAGAGAGAGAGAGAGAGAGAGAGAGAGAGAGAGAGAGAGAGAGAGAGAGAGAGAGAGAGAGAGACAGGAATAAATAGGTGAAAGAGTGAATGGGTAACATGGGTGTATGTTCCCCCTCGCTCTGCAGCAGCAACGCAACGCGCTAAACAAATGAAAATGATTTCCGTTCGTCATGCAAACAGTTGTGCAGTACGCCCCTCCCCTGCCCTCTGCCCACGCCCTTTAGCCAAAAAAAAAAAAAAAAAAAGGCAACACGCTGCCATTTGGCAAGTGCAGCAAACGGAAGCAATGAAAATGGGCACAACAATTGCCCCGACTGTGTTGGTGTGTGTGTGTGTGCTGTTGTTGTTGTTACCATGACCCACGTCGCCCTCCGCTTCAACAATTTGTGTATGTATTTTTTTTTCTTGATTCATAAACAATTCATTAAAACGGGAAATGGCAATTAATGCATGTATACGATATAACATTAAATTATATACAAGAGGTAACTGTTCTAAAGGGAATGACTAATAAATGCCCTGTAGGTTATATCAATAATGCGTGATTAGATAACAATAGCGAAAATTTGTTGATGGTAGTATTTCTTTGAGGATTTTACCTATAATCGGAGTAGCTACTGCAAATGAAAATGTAAAAATATTGTTTGGAATAGTTTTCTTTTTTCATTTTTATTTATTTTATTTTTATTTATTTAGTTTTTATTTATTTTATTTCTATTTGTTTTATTTTTATTTTTTATTTTATTTTATTTTCAGTAACAATTTTCCTCTTCAATATAAGAATAACTTTTAGCAGAAACTAGAGTCTAGGGTTTAATTATACACAAAATATCTGTCTGAAGGCCTTTGTCGCTCTGGCTTAAAACTTGTTA